AGTAGATTTACCAAATATTAAAATCAGTTTCTGCTACAAGTATAAGCTGATTTTGGGAGGGAAAAGCAATACCAAACTAAGCCTATGTTTTTTGGTCTCGGTCAATTAGTTTTATCCATTAATTATAGTAGTTTTGTCAAATAAGTTTTTGTCATGCTCAATTATTAGTGTACCGAGCGGGTCTTTTACATTGAGTCTTGGCACTCTTGTTTTTCCTACACTTCATTTGTGTTTACTAGTAGATTTAATCCCTTATATGTAGTGGTCATTTACAACTATATAGAGTATGTATCGAGCTAATTGTTGAATGAAATTTCTCCATTAAAAGAAATAGTTTATAATAGTTCCCAAAACATTTTTTTTAAGTTTACTGTATAGTCCTCCAAACTAAATAATTTGCATGCGTGCATCCTTGAAAGATAATTTAACGTCATAAGTACACTAATAAAAGATGGCCAGTGGTCAACGGCAAAATCATTTATGTTAAATCTAATGTTGAAGATACGTAACAAAAACGTGGCAGGGATACGTCAACTCGATCAAAATCAGTTTATTTCGTATATTCGTCCCTGATTTTAAATCATGATTTATGGTTCTCTATAGTATTTTCTCTCATAAAAAATACACATAAAACGAGAATGGTTCTAAATCATGATTCTGAATACATAAACCAAACGTCGTAGATGGATCATGATTATGATCTCATACATAATCCTAGATCCTAAGGTGCGTTTAGTATATGGATCCAAAATCGTGATTCTGGATCCATGGTTCAGAATTAGTATTTGTTTACAGTGATTCTAAATCATGATTCATAATCAGTGTTTAGTTTTGATGATTCATAATCAGTGTTTGGTTTTGATGATTCATAATCTGATGTGATATTTTAAACTAGCTCAAATCATGATTCTAAAACCACACCCCTCTTGATTTAAGGTAATTTAAACTCCTGATTCTGAATCATAGTTTCAGAATCATGATTTGAACCTAAAATCATAAATCATGATTCTGGTTCCAGAATTATAATTAGAATCACCTTTATTTGAATCATTGTACCAAACGAACTCTAACTTTTACTTCAAATTCTACTCACTATGAACGTAAATCCTAGTATCTTTACAACTATTGGATTGTGATATCCACATGAATCCTATGGTCTTCAAATTCAATGATAAAAAAAAAAGTAAAGCGATATGGATGAAGTTTTTTATTTTTATTTTTATCATGTATACTCAGAGTATCAATATAAAAGTCGTCAAAATAGCATGTAAATTTTACATTAAAAAAAATGTAACGATGAAAAAATCATAGCTTCCATAGCTAGTACCATGACCCAAGGAATATCCATCCATCTAAAAGCTCTGTCAATATTCGACTTATGTCATAACCAAGTTGAAGAGGGGACCAATATATATTATATAATAGGCAAAGTCTCTTTTTTCTTAAATATGTATATTTTTTTTTTAAAATGTATATATTTTCTCTTAAAATATGTAAATATTATATATTTTACCATAAAAAGAAATGTACATGTTTTAAGATGAAATATATACATTTTAAAAAAGAAATATACATATTTTATAGAGAAATGAATAAGTGCCGCTCCAGGTACTGAACTGGAGAAAATTCATATATATATATATATATATATATAAGGATTAAATATGAATAAGCCTTTGATTATTGAGGAGTGAGTATAATGATAATGTTGAATTTCTCCTAAGCTAGTTCTCAACATTAACAATGGATATAGATCAAGTTATTTGTTTATCCAAATTGAAAATGGAGGCGCTAAAGTGGTGGGCCAATAGAATCAAACAATATATCTTGAACTCACCAAACTGAGTGCTGGTTATTTCCCATCATACGTGGGGTGAATTAGAAAAATAAAAATAAAAATAAAAATAAATAAAGGCATCATATTTGCTATATCAATTCATGAGGGTTAGAATCAAAGAACTGGAAACTGAAAATTGATCCACTTGTTAATGGCATCAAAAAAGTCCATTTTTTCAAGATGCCTATGGAGAATATATCATTTTTGACCAATTATTGGCGCATAACTTATAACCGGCTCTCCATATGCAATTTTCTTGGCTCAAAATATTGGTTTGCCATTTCCACGAAAATGATACCAAATATATTCTTTTTTTTTTCTTTTCTTTTCTTTTAAAAGGATTCGTTTCCCTTTCTCTTGTATTCCGTAAATTCCTTCAAGTTTTTTTTTTTTTTTTTAAGAATTCAAGCTTGTAATTTAAAGTTAAAAATAGAGGTTGGAGTTTTAAAGTTCAGATTTTAGGCTCCTACATAGCTCAAACTCAGTGTGGAAATTAAAATAACAATGTTCTAGCAAAAATAAATAAAAAAAAGTACATGATTTAGCATGGTTATATTGAGCTTTGTTATTTATGTCATTCTAAAAAAATGTTTAATATAACATTGTATTTTTTTCATTTTCTTTTAATTAAAAGAGTATTTCATTAGTGTTAAAAAAAGAGTCTTTCATTTAATTGAAATAAAACATTAATAATTAGAAAATTATAGATCTCACATAGTATTAAAAAAATTGGGATTTGGGAAAATTGGGGACATAAGATATCTGTGGGCACCCTTTTAGCTTTTCTTATTAAAAAAAGATAAGAGATACGATTGTGAAGGAAAATTGTTTAAAAAATTTTTGGAGTACAAAAATGCTTATATTGTCACATCATCGAATAGTTTGGAAGTAAAGAGGACAAGAAAAACCTGTTTTAATGCCAAACGAAATAATAGCATAATAATAGTAATCATCAAGGGAATTGACGAAAGATAATTCATCAATTCAGATAAGAGAAGCAAAGATGGGACAAACAAAAATGACTGTGGCCCATTATATTTTGTCCCTTTATTTATCTTGTGAAAAAAGGTGTCCCTATCTTTATAATTTTATTTTTGGTTTTTACTTAAAATAGCCCTATATCTTTATAAATTTATTAGGTGTCCCTATATCTTTATTTCGTAAAGTTTCATTGATTTATTATTATATTTTATCACGTGATTTTAATTCGATCTGACATTTTAGAGTTGTGTTTTAGAAAAAAAAAAATTGACTATTGAGTCATACGAAGTTAAAAACTCTAAAGTGAAGTTCTGAAAAAAAAAAAAAAAATTTACCCATCTATATTCGATCAATGTGAACAAATCATTTGATAAGAAGATTCTAAAATTACAAATTCTCAGTTCGATTTAACTATAGAATAAAGAGCTCTAGAAGGTTTCTCAAATGAGAATATAATATAATTTTATTTACTTTATTAATTGGCACTCTTATAATTTTTTTTCTCGAGCAAATTAAAGAAATCAAGTTATTAAAGTTTCGTTCATTTTATCGATTTGAGTTTTTAATTTTAGATTTTTACAATTAAAAACTCACAGAAAATGTCACATTTAACTTTTTATGCTACAGTTAAAAACTCTCAAAAAATATTATATCTCAATTTAAATTGAAAATTTGAATCCACAAAATAAACGAGAACTAAGTGTTCAATCACAACCAGATAAATTGTCGGCAACAATAAAACTTGATAAAGCTAACAAGTTATGTACTTGTTTTTCCACTTTACGATAAAAGCGTATAAATGTAGACATTATCATGGTGACCAGAGTGGACACATTGTTGGCCACAAAATACAAATCTTCTACAAAAACAGCTACTAAGATCTTGATACCGGAATTTGTCCCATATGATTTTATTATTCACTTTCGTTAATCTTTTTCTTATGTAGCCTAGCTTTTTACCGAAAGCTAAAAAAACAAAACTCTTTTACCGAAAGTTATAGGCTGAAAATGATCTTCCCAATCAAACCATAACATTAGTTATTTATTATTATTATTATTATTATTATTATTATTATTTTCACTTTTACATGTCTTGTCCCACTCACTATGGTGAATCTCAAGAACCAAACTCTAGTTCTCGCGCTATTGTCCATCTCAGCTTTTTTTCTTTTTCTTTAGATTGATTTCTGGAAAAAATATGCATAATAAATAGTTTTACGGAGATTTGACAATTAAAAATTAAGACTTTTTAATAGTTTATTTTTTTAAGACATTTTTAATTCACATAAAAAAAGCAAATATATGTTAACGATCTAAAAAATAATTTGTACTAAATTGTGCTCGAAGTAGATTTGTACTAAAATTTTACATCTCCATAAAATAGTACAACATAATTGCGGATTTGATCTAGTAGTAATTTTAGATCTACATAAGAAAGTTTCCTAACGTGATTGCAAATTCTTTCTAATAGTAATTTAGCATCTACATCCAATGTTGATCTACAATTTACTTTCTGCAAAAATTAGTATGCAATGCACAAATTGATATAGAAAACGTAGTTGATACTTTAATTTTTTCTCAATAAAAAAAAGATGTCATTTCGTCTCATATCTCTTTCATTACTTTGAAAATCCCAAGTTCCACTAATAGAATAGCAAGAAATAATAATAATAATAATAATAATAAAAGATCTCATTTCACCTCATATCTCTTTTATTACTTTGAAAATCCTTAGTCCCACACTCCCACTAATAGAATAGAAAGAATCCAATGTAATTCTACTCCAAAGGTGGTCATAAATTTTACTTATGCCCTACTCATACCACTACATCGAAAATTTAGTTCTTGGATGCATTTTTTTATCTCTTTGTTTGATAAATGAATCTCCTTTTATCGCATAACCATAGATAATTAAAGTGTACGCAGAAGAATGTAAAAAAATACTAACATCACTATTTTTATCACTCTGTCTCTCAACATTTACTGTTTTAACACGTAAAATTCACTATCTCATTTTTTATTTAAATAATAATATATTATATTAATAAAGTAAACGCGTCAAACAGTAAACACAGAGAATAATAGAAAGAGTTCTATAGGCAAAATGATTTCTCCAACTATTCTAAACTTAAATGTGCAGTTTGTAAATAAAGGGAAAAAAACAAAACAAAAGAGAGGTCAATGGCTCTTGTTGTGCATTTCTTTTACTGCTTTGATAACTAAGATAGGTCAACACATGACCTAATGTACAAAAAAGGTATCACAACCTAAGGCCTACCTTCCAAGAAGTAAAAGTAAAGCAACTATACAATTTGCCACTCCTGCAAAAAAGCAGAGTATTCTATCCCTCTAATTCTATCTCATTTCCCTTTTCCCCTTTTAGCTAAATACCCATCAAAACCTACAAAAAAGCTAGGCCAATAAAATAAATTAACAAGAGTCAACTTCTACACTTTCACACTATTGTCCTTGCATTCTTGTGTTGGTTCCATGTGGATTTCCCCATTCTTCAAACTGAGAGAGCCCTCTCCTTCTGCATCAAAGCTAGCATGAACACTGTAGAACACATACACAAGCACTGCCAGAGCGGAAAAGAATCCGAATCTAACATAGGAGGGACCATCCAGAGAACCCAACAAGAAAATGTTCAAGAAAATGGATATGGATGGTATCCATGGCATCAAAGGGACACCCCAGAACTCGGGCTTTCTTGCTTGAGGAACCATGCAGTTGAAGATCTGCAGCATGGCGACCGCAATCAAGGCGCTTGCTCCGAGCATGACTGCTTTAGGTTTTCCCGGCGGGGCGAATTGCCATATGAGTGTGAACATGATGGAGGTGAAGGTAAATGAGCAAAGGAAGGACAAAGTAGGCCATGGATTTGTAGTCCCCACAACAATATAACGCCTATAAATCACGGCATTTGCCACCATGTAAAACACAAAGAGGGTGCCAATAGAGACAAGGTTGAGAAGGACGTTTAGATCGGTGAAAAGGGCAATCAAAGCCGTAAAGATACCTGAAAAAAGTATGTGACATATACATAATATGAGAAATCATGAGATATATAGTTCAAGTGCAAAAGACAGAGACTTTTTCTTTCCTTTTTTTCTCCTTTTGTTTCTTTTTCTTTTTTCTAGGCGTGCAAATATTTTTCAGCATAAAAACAAGGGATGGTGGGAAGTCAAGAGCACCCCACAATACAAAAGCATATAAATTTCATTCAAAAGGAATGAAATAACTCCACACTATATATATATCAATTGAGTGGACTGACTATTTACCAAATACAATCCAATTATCCACGTAGTGGCCTTGCCATTTATTTGGAGTTTGACAGATGATATTGTGAGCTAGAGGGTCAGTTTCAGTAATGCTTCAAACCAAAGGGAAGATGGTTGGAACAATTTGGGCCACTTGCTCAAAAATAATGATAGTTATTGCTGTTTTAAGAAGATTAAAAAAAAAAAAAAAAAACCTTATGAAAAGCAACAGATATTTATAAAATCTGCATATCACGAACTTCCGAGGAAAAAAAAGGCTATGATGCAACCACTCTTTGATCCATTATAATGTATAAACTTTCCCACTTAACCCTTTTGGAGAATAAATTTAGCAGTATGGAACCAAAAAGGGAGAAAAAAAAATCTCTTTCAAAAATTTTAATTGGACAATACTGATTAGTACCATTGCATAAGGATATCACATGCTAAAAGGTGACACTAAATATATTTGACACCGTCATGTGCATTTGAAGCATCTATTGTAATCAAAACAATATTCAGCATATATTTTAGTGCCAAGTGACTGAATGAGACAAATGGCAAAAAGGGTACATTTCTTTTTTTCTTGCTAATCCTATCTTAGATTAGTATGAAGGCCTATTTTTATTTCCCCATTGTACACAAACATTAATATAGATAATTGTTGATGGGCTACGTTTGATTAATAATCCATCAATTGCTGAAAATCGTGGGAAGATAATAGATAAGGGATATCCACCATAAGTTCATATCTTTGGATCAAAACTTGCCTTTCAATAAGAAAACCGGACTCTTTTTTAGTGGGAGGTACTAAAATAAGGAAGTACAATGAACCCAATACCCCAAATAAGCGAAAAATCGAGAAAAGTAATGCCAATCCAAGATACATCAAAGCAAAAACATGCTAATAAATTCTCTTAAAGCCACGACTCCATTCTAAATGCAGCCACAAGACGAATAACCCCAAAGCGAAACATGTGAGTTCTCACTTTTGCACATTTTTCTACCTATTTTAGTGGTTACGTACGCAAAATGGCAACAAACACCCAAATCATTATCCTAGTTAGGGTAGAGCGAGGGGCAAAATGCTCAGGGGTCAGCACCTCAACTAACAGAAATTGGGCCTCAATCTATAAGAATCGTCTTTTATTAGTGTGCTTACACTAATATCATTAATTTTCGGTCAGTCACATTTTGAAATCCTGATTTAGTGAATAAGAATGATAAAATCAATTAAAGAACATTTCAAAACTTTTAAATGACATAGCATATAATATGATTAGTTAGCTACTATTTTTAACATCAAAATTGGACATGTGGGTTTTTAGTCCGCGTCCTAACATTGTTCAACAACTAATAAAAACTGAGCCCCAATCTTATAAAAATCGCCTTTTTTATTAGTGTGCCTATACCAATATCATTAATTTTCGGTGACCTAAATAGTATCTAACCAATCACATTTAAAAAATCAATTAAAGAACATTTCAAATTTTTTAAATGATATAGCATATAATATGATTAGTTAGCTACTATTTTTAACACCGAAAATTGGACACGTGGGTTTTTAGTCCGCGTCCTAACATTGTTCAACAATACCCTACTCACTCTCCCTACCCCATGATAAGGTCTCGTGGGAACACCCTCATTGAATTTCACCTCTCTCGACCAAATAAAACCAGAGAAGATAGGAGAGACCACAAACTAACCTTTAGTCCTTTACCCCACCCAACAACAAAAGCCAAATCGTTTCTAGTGGGTCCCCCAGTCGCCAACAGCCTAATTTCAAAACAACACCAGACACAAGTACATAACGCCCAACGAGTAAAGACGGCGACAATTCGGCAGCACTGTACACCTTTTCACAAATATAATAATAATAATAACAACAATACTAGTAATATTATTCTTAATATTCACGTTAATCCAACGGTAAAAAAAAAAGTACTTCTATCGGTGAAAGTATTTAAGGGATTTTACCGTAGAATAAGCCTAATAAAAACAGAAAATATTATTGTTACTATTAGTATTAATTGATCAATGCATGGGGAAGAAACCCATTAAAACAAAAACCAACAATTCATCATCTCCTTCCAAGAAATAATTCATATTTTCAATCCAATGTATGAAATGCCTAATGTAGCAAAGATAATAATTAAGAGTCATAAAATAAACAACTCATGGGATTATCGTGTAAGGCTATACAACTACTCTATTGTTTGTATAAATATACGAAGTTAATGGGAAAATTAAGTGGGGGCGGGGTAACGTACCGAGAAAAGCGGAGGCGTTGACAGGCGTTGATGTCATGGGGTGGACCCGGGCGAACCAAGCAGGGACCACTCTGGACCGTCCGATTACGCACATGTAGCGAGCCTGGCCCAGCATCGCTACCAACAGCGACGTCAGGATCCCGAAGCTGGCCCCCACCCCGATCACGTTCGACACGCATCTCCAGCCGTCCGATTTCCCCCTGAACGCCGCCGAAAACGGCGCCTCCTCATCGATCTGCGTGCGCGCGCGCCACGCCCAACCACCAACAGCAACACCAGATCATAGGCAATTTCGTCATTTCACTCCCTCAAAATTATCTTTTAAAACAAAATTAAAAAAATAAGTTTTTTTTTCTTTTCTTTTTTTTTTTGTGGTATTTATTTCATATCATGTTATTATTATTATAATATTACCATGTCGTAAGGGAGAAGCTTGGACATGGAAGCAGCCATGAGGCAGTACAGAACGGTGACGATGGCGACGGAGCCCGATACTCCGATAGGGATGTCCTTGACCGGATTACGGACCTCCTCGGCCATGGTCGAAACGGCGTCGTATCCAATGTAGCTGAGGTAAACCATGGCGGCTCCGTTGAAAACCCCGGATGCTCCGTTCGGGAAGAATCCCGACGGCTTCTCCGGGTCCGCCGGCTCACTGAAGTTCCTCCACTCGCCTTTCCAGAATCCGACCACTATCAAGAACACGATGAACAGAATGTGCAGCGCCGTCAACACCATGTTCACCATCGAGCTCTCTCTCGTGCTGAAACAAAAATCGTGATTGATCAGTAGATATCGCGAAAACGACGCCGTTTTGAGATTTTTCTGTTTTCTTTGTTTCTGTTTTTGGTTTACCTGTAGCAGATTATGAGAGTGATGAGAAGGACGACGAGAACTGCGACGACGTCGATTTCGTTGAAACCCTTGGGGAGTCCGGCGACGGTGATCCTCCATTTCGCGGTGGAGACGCCGATCGCGGTGCCTAAGTACGCCGTGAAGCCTCTGGCGACGGCGGCGTTCGACATCACGTAGTCCATCACGAGGTTCGCGCCGGTCAGGAACGCAGCGAATTCACCTGAGAATATTCAAAAAACGATCAAAAAATCTCGATTTTAGCGGGGAGAGGATAAGAGTTATTAGTTAGTTAGTCAGTTACCGAAGGTGACGCGGAGGTAGCTGAAGGCGCCGCCGGCGACGGGCATGTCGACTGCGAACTCGGTGTAGCAGAAGGCAGAGAGGACGGCGCAGAGGCCGGCAATGGCGTAGGAGACAACGACGGCGGGACCGGCATATAGGCGGCTGGCGCGGCCGGTGGTGACGAAGACGCCTGCGCCGACCATGCCGCCGATGCCGAAGCCGACGAGGTCGTACCACCGGAGGGTCTTGAGCATGTTCGGGCCGGAACGGGCTCTGGCCCGGCTCATTTCGTCGAAGGACGTCGAAACAGAGCCGGCCCGGCGTTTGAGGCGGGTTGGGGTTTGGGCCAGGGCCCGAAGGTAGGCCCGGAGGCTGGAGAAAGATGAGTGAGAACTCTCTACCATTTCTTTCTATTTTTTCTCCTATGTGATTTATTATTTCTTTCTTTCTCCGGTTATGGTTGGATGGGGACTGGGTTGGTTTTTATAAGAGGATGAGTGGGGAATGGGAGTGAAAAGGAGAGGACTTGATATGGGAAAGAAAGTTTACTTTTTGCGAAGGGGTTTTTCTTTTGCTTTTGTGGGTCCTCATCATAGCGAGATACTACTAAATAGAGTTTATGTTGGTTGATTACGTCATTTAAGTTTAAAATTTAAATTTTATTATAATAAAAAAAATTTTAAAAATAGTTATATTTAATTTCTTTATTACAATAAAAAAAACTCTAATAAAATATCACATCTTAAGTCAAATTAAAGAATTAAACGGACATTTAAATTTACTGTACATGGTTTTGAGTTAAAATTTTAAAAGGATAATTATAAGCTCGTTTAGTTCGCTGATTCGAGTTTTTAATTCGAATTGAGATGTGACTTTATGTGATAACTTTTCATTATAGTAAAAAAATTAGATGTGACTGTTGTAGAAAACTTTTTACTGTAACAAAACTCAAATTATAAACTTAAATTGATCAAATGAACGGGTTTATAGAATATGAGCCATTGCATTTATTCTTTTGCATTTTACAAATCTTGAAAAAAATCTCTTTAGAGGAAAGGATTTTAACATGATTGCTAACTCTCCATACGGGGGAGGTTCTTAAAACACATTTTCTGAATCGTGTTAAAAACGCGCCTTAAGAATAAAGATTTTTAACACGATTTATTAATTTAGATGGAGGTTCTTAACACAAGATGTTGGACAAACTTTTAATATCATTGTAAAACTTAAGGATAAGGTAAATAGTAATCATGCAATTTGAACATTTTCCATCATTTGCCAAATGGACCACAACTTATTACTTTTGACATTGAGATCTTATATTTAATGATCGTTGATAATGCAGTCCAATTAATAATAAACATCAATTTGATGTCAAAATTCAAAACTTAACGATCAATGAAAAGTGCAAAAATCTTAACGCGTGCTCATTTATGAGTGAAAATTAAAAGTTTGGGGTTTTGGCTGTCAAAACACCAACGAGCTTAGTCACACTTGTGTAATTAATCTTTGGAGATAAGTGCAGATATTATTAAACATTTTGATAAATACGTAGAAAGTTCTTTACTATTATTCCTATCTCAAAATCTAATCCACAATAAAGCACTTCTCTGATCTGGATTGCCAAATTCATCCTATTTTCGTCTTTAGCTAGATCTTTTCTTTCCCTCTCTTTTGAGTGAAGTATAACCCAATTCGTCGGCTATGTTAAAATGCCCCAATTTTTAACCCTTTTTTGTTTTATATGCTTACTAAAGGTAGTTAGTGGGAATCACTTACTAGTAAATAATTTTTCTAAAAACGAGTTTTTTGTGTGCTTTATTGACCATATTGTGTCAAAGTGTTAGAAAAAAAAAAAAAAAAAAAAAAAAGAAAGTTACATGTCGATTGTCTTTATCATCATGAAGTAATATTTTTCAAAATTCGATTCTTAGCATGAATTTTGTCAACTAGAAACTTTCTCAACTTGACTGTTAGCACATTGTATGGTCATTATGCTATTTTGGCTCAAATTAATCTTATTGGTGATGAGATTCATAAATTATGCACAATATATGTGATGGCTAATATATATATATATTGTGAGTTGTGGTATTTTCTATTTAGTCACTATTATTGGTAAAATACCCAGCTTCATCCTTGACTCTTGGTCCTCAAAGCCTTGCTAGTATGGCATTATTCTTTGCACAAATGAGGATGTATTTCCGTTCGGTTCGTTAATTTGAGTTTTTAATTCGAGTTGAGATGTGGTGTTGTGTGAGAGCTTTTTACTGTAGCAAAAAAGTTAGATGTGACTGTTTCTGAGAGCTTTTTACTGTAGCAAAACTCAAATTCTAAACTCGAATCAGCGAAATAAACGGGGCATTAGACCCATGGATCTCACTTTTGTTGTTATCCTTTTCTTTTATCTCAAAGTCTTTTCAAAATCCTGTCACGAAGCTTCTCGAGTTTTGATCCTCTTCATCCCATTCAAATCATATGCAGTATGGCAAAATATCAATATGGGGCTCCATAATCTCCATTGGAGCTCTAGTTGTCTTTGAACAATGGTATTTCTAGGAATTATTTAATCATCATTGTTCTTGACTATGGCCATTTATGCATACTTGAATACTAAAGATAGTTTGATATCCATTTCTACTATGGGTTTTTTTTTTTTTTTTTTTTTTTTTTTTCCTTTAGTTCAACAACCCCTTTTTTTGCTTTTATTTAATTATTTAATATCCCTAATTTTAGAAAACTATTTAATTTACAATCTCAAGATATTCTCTTCTTCTTATACCATAGCTCTTTCAACTTTCTCCATACATTTGCACTTTTTTTGGACTGTTGCCAGCAAATAGCTAGATAACAACAAAATTAGCCAATTTGCTTTTAGAGGCAATGCCAACCTCATTCATTTATGTGACCGAGGTGTAACTCCCATAACTCCTATAAAATGACTGCCAATATGATATTAATATTAAATAAAATGCCATATCAGGATTTATGAGCCGTTACTCATTAACTTCCTCTAACAATCTTTTTTTTTTTTTTTTTTTTTTTTTTTTAAAAAAAAAAATTTTTTTTTTTTTTTTTTTTTTTTTTTTTGTAAAATAGAAATCTTCACTTGGTTTATATCGCAGAGTATATAGCAGTTTAAAAGTTTTTCCCTTTCAATGTAACTGTAGGGTCAAAAACCGCCATATGTATGGTGATTCCTTCCACCACTATTCCCATGTTACTATTAAAGCTAGTTCACAATTACCAACACCACACCACATTCTTCTGAGTTTCTGTATGAAGTAGTTTCTTTTTTTTTTTTTTAAGTTTTTTTAGTAGGCCTGATTTACAGGTTATACTAATTTTTTATTATTAAATCATATTAAAATCACATCAAATTAAAAAGGCATACAAAATTTACAATTTTTTTTATATAAATTTAACAGCTTAAAAATAGAAAATTATCGACAATTAATATTAAAAAAGCTTCATTTTTTCTGCAGTATCAATTTTTAGTTGTTAATCAGAGCGGTTATAAATGCTACCATGATCCATATATGGACTAAAAGTGGTAAATACTATAGAGTTTATGTTAAGGGCAAACTTACACTAATGGATACATGCATGCTAATCAAGAGTAAAACATGGAACATAAGTTTTAAGAGGTGTGGATCCGACCAAAATCCATATTTGATAAACTCGTGTTGACAGAATTATGCAAAGAAGCAAAGATAGAGAATCAAGTTTTTGACAGTGATGAAGGGGACGTTTGTTTCCTGTATTCGTCCATGATTCTGAATCATGATTTATAGTTCTCTACAGTATTTTTTCTCACAAAAAATACACGTAAAACGAGAATAGTTCTGAATCTATGAACCAAACGTCCTCAGAGTCACTTTCAACTTAACCGGAACACATGCCCTTATTGAGATTTTTAATTTTTTCAACGTACACGAATTTTTAGTAGATTGTATTTGTGTCACGCTGAACTTATAGAATCACGAATGTGTCACCACTTAGTAAAAAAGAATGTAATTTTGCCCCACTTAAAATTGATAAGTATTCAAATGAACTATTATAAACTTTGCATTATCTCTTCTGTATTTTCATGTTAAACATTATGTCCCAACTCCCGACTAAACATACTTCCTGACGCCAACACTTATTTTCCACGCAAAATGTGTCTTTCCAGAATTATCTCAATATGTCATTTTTCCATTCGTATAGCTTTCAAACAAGAAATTCCAACAATCAGATCTTAAAAAGAAAATTATATTATCAATGCAGCTCTGTTTTAACTATTAAATATATATAAAAACTGTTATATTTTTTCCTGCATACTTTTCTAATTTTAATGCGATTTTAAACCAAATAAAAATGTCAAAAAACGTGCACAATTGATATAAAGCCATGTTCTTGTTATAAAAAGATCTTTCAAACAAAAAAAAAAGCAAAAACAAAAAACAAAAACAAAAACAAAATGAAACAAATTGGGATAAGTTGAACAGGGAAGAGTAGAGTACCACTCTTGTATGAGCATTTTTATTCATAAATTAAAATTCTACTATTCATATAAAGTATAAGCCATTAAATAAATAGGTAAGATTTAATTTAAGAGACTTAAGTCTCATTTATTTTACTAATTTAAGTTTTCAATTTTAAGTTTTTATAGTTAAAAGTTTTGAGAAAATAACACATCTAATTTTTTTTATTATAATTAAAATTTTTTAAAAAATATCACATTTTAACTTAAATTAAAATTCTAAATCTATAATGTGAACAAGACTTTACTATTTTATCAGTGATGAGGTTTTATTATAACGGTGACGAATATTATTTTTCCTCTTGTATTATATATGGCCATTAGTGCGTTGGGTCCAGCTCAAAAAGGGTGAAAACAAGAAGGCAAAGTACTAGAAAAAGTGTGTCAAAGGCAATAAGAAGGGTTTGCGTTATTGACTATTGATGGTTGATTTAAAACGGACCCGTACATTCATACTCACGGACCAAATGGAACCTCACACAGCCCACAATGTCTCCTTTTGTAGGGTAGGTCCTAAAATAAGTTAAGAATTAAGATCTCATTTATTTTACATATTTAAATTTTTAATTTTAAAATTAAGAGAAAGAGAGAAATAGATCAAGACTTGAGTTGAATTAAAATTAATAGGTTAATAGTTTACATAAGTTAATAAATAAGTTAAATTATTATTTTCGTCCATAACGTGTCTAGTTATGAATCATAACTTAACAAGTTATTCACAGTTTTTATCCATAACTTATCTGGCTATGAACCATAACTTGACAAATTTGTCTATAACTTATCTGATTATAAATCATAACTTAACAAGTTATGGCCTATTAATTTATATAAATAAAAATTGGTTTATATACTTTTTTAAGCTTTTCATATTTGTCTATTTTCTAGTATTTTCGTTTAAAATTTTACAGTTAAAA